CTCGGCCACCACGGGGACGGCTGCCACAAAAGCAGAGGGGTCTGCCAGGAAGGCCTTCACCTGCAAAAGAGGGGGGGAAAAATGTAAACTCAAAGGAAATTAAAATATTTTGAAGGATTGAGCTTCGCAGCCATAAAGGCAACGCTCGCAGCGTGCCAGAAGCCAAGGAGAGGCACCCATCACTGCCATCCGGGAAGAAACAGCTGTTTCAGCTACACTCAAACGTAACGGCCCCCGGGAGGAAGGAGCGCCAGTAATTCCGCTTTCTCCTGCCATTCGTACACGAGATACGAAAGCGAGCGCCCCTGCTCGGGACAGCTCCCTCGCACACGGGCAGGTCCGAGCCCTTCCGAACGAGGCGACGCGCCAGGTGCTTCTGCGACAGCGCCCGGCTGCGTTCCCGACGCCCTCCGAGCCGCAGAGCGCCCAGCCGTTACCTTCTCAGCCAGCGGGAAGGTGTAGTCGGTCTCCACCGCCACGGCCAGCACCCGCTTGTACCCGTTGATGATGGAGTGGGGCACAGAGGCGATGGTCGGGTACCCGATCTGCAGACAGACGCTGGCAACGTTACGAACACCCTGTGAGGAGAGAGAGACTTGTTTCTGTGCCCTGGGAAACAACCTGGGCTAGGAACCAGGGCAGGTGCTGGCCCGTTTCTACACGGCCAGCGTTAACGAGGGACAGCGCACGCGGTAACGCAGCTCTGGCGAAAATGAGGCTGCTCAAGATTTAAATGGCCTCAAACGCTTTCAGAAGTCGCTTCAGAGGGAAAAGCCTGCGGAAGGCACCGACAGAGTGGTTCTGCAGGGCGGCAGGGAGAGCTCCTGGCTCTGCAGGACCTCGCGGAGAACAGCAGCGATGCTGCCCCAGCAGCGAGGGAGAGGCAGAAGGTAACGGATACGGGCCGTGGCACTCACCTCCAGGAAGCGCTTGTGCAAGGTCTCCTCGGTGATGTCCAGCACCTCAGGATTGTAAATGCTGCCGTTGTCGAAGACCTGCTGGATCACCAGCCCGAAGGAGAAGGGGGAGATGTTAAGCATGTTCAGGCGGGGGGGGTGGCTTCGCTGGCACCCACCTTGTCCCCGGTCTTGATGAGCTGCACGTCGCTCTGAGGAAGTAAGGGGAAAAGGAGTGAATTCAGCAAAGGAATTCAGAATGTCAACACAACGGGACAGAAACGGACATTTCCAATGGCAAGAGATGGAACTGAACAAACGAGCACAACAAAAGCAGGCCCCAAGTTCAGCTCCGCGAGCTGAGAAAGCCCTAGACCAAGCGGGTGCTTCTCAGGTAGGAGAAGGGCAGCGCCCTTCCTGCGGCACCTACAGGTAGCTCGCCTGCGAGCTCCTCCAGCAGAGCCACCCCCGCAGCCGAGATGCAACGGAGAACTTCAGTCCCCCCGCGCTGCGTCCCGGGGCCAGGCCAGGCACCCTCCCCCGAGTTCCCAACGCGCAGCGCTCAGGCTCAGGCGCAGCATCTCAGTGCTGACGGGAGCTCTGACCTTCACAGCTCCCTCAACTGCCGCAATCGGGGCCCTCCAGTCGAGGAAGGGCTTCAACAGCAGCAGCAGGCCGCTCACTAACCAGAATTTCAATGGTCCCTCTGGAAATCTTCGTGGTGATGCCCAAGGCCTGGAAAAAGGAGGTCTTCTCGGGTCCGAGACCAGTGTTCTGGGCCGGCACAGTCACATCGCAAGGAGCAATAGCACCAGCACGGGCAGCGGCTGGCACCTGGAGAGAAGAGAAGCGAGAAGCTGGAAGACCGCTCACCTCTCCGATCTGGTGGGGTGGCATCAGCTCCCTCCCGAAGCGCTGCTCTAGGATGGACAGCACCCAGGCTCACACATGAGGCAGCCGAACTTAAGGAGTTTGGCTAAGGCTGCAGGGACCTCGTTCCCAACCCCTGAGGACCCCTACTAACCAGATATCCCCCACGAACATTTAGTTTTATTTTTAATTCTGTACCTGCCAGCCCAGAGGCACGGTGAGGGCTGATCTCCCCTACCTTGTTAGCCAGCAGCATGTCCCGGATCTCCGTCAGATCCTCCTTGGTGAAGACAAAGCCCACATTCCCACGGATGTGAGGCAGCAGCCTGAAGGAAAGGTGACAGCCTTCAGTTCTGCTTCTCAGACAACCTCTCCTCCCAGACAAGAGGTTCCGGGAGTACATTCAGACAGCGATACCCACTTTTCCAAGGCAGGGTTGTTCTCCAGATGACCCCGGATAGCTTTGCGCATCATAGTATTCTTCCCCATCAGCACAACGGCCTTCCCACGCAGGGACATGCGGATCTGCTGCATCTGCTTGGATCCCACGTTGTCTGCTCCCACGATGAAACATTTTGGGTAATCATCCAGGAGTTGCTATAGCAAGAAAACCACTGTAACTATACAAAGAGATCCGGACCAGCGCACAGAGCGCCATTAAAACCTCAATATGTTAAAAGGTAAAAAAAAAATATGTCAGAAGTTTGAGAGTGGTCAGCTCACACTGATGCTGGGTGCACCGCAAGGCTGCACCTTTTTAACTATTTATTTATTATTTATCTATTATTAGCATATTTTATTGTTGATTATTTATCTATTTCTATCACCCCAGCTACCTAGTTAGGTCCCTAAGCAAGTTATCTCTGAAACTGCCACAGCAAATCCTCACAGGAGCCTTAAACGCGGCCTCATCCGGACCACCTGAACCTTTTCCTATTGCGTACCGTAATCGTTCCTTAAACGAGCGACGGCTCCCCCTCTCTTTTTTAAAAAGCCCCCCGCCGACAGGCC